TCATCTTCTTCCTCCTCCTACTCCTCCCCCTCCTCCCCATCGCCATTTTCTGCCTCCTCCTCCTCCTCCTCCTTCCTCCTCTCCTCCTTCCCCATTGGAGGGTCTTCTTCCTCCTCCTCCTTCTCCTCCATTCGCGATCTTTTTGCTCCTCCTCCTCCCGATCGTGATCTTCCTCCTCCTGATCCTCCTCCTAGTCCTCCTACCCGATCTTGTTCCTCCCTCTCCTCCTTCTCCCCTTCCTCCCATCGTCGACAAACATTCGTAACGATTCCAAACCCAAAAAAAAAAAAAAAAGGTGACCTGGCGATGGAAGAGGAGGAAGAAGACCCTCCCCAGGAAACTGCTATGTATGTTTGTCGGCTATGGGAGGAGGAGGAGGAGGAGGAGGAGGCTCCTCCTCCTCCTCCTCCTCCTTCCCATCCCGATTTTGTTCCTCCTCCTCCTCCTCCTCCTCCTCCACCCATAGCCGACAAACATACGTGACCGTCATTACGATCCCAAAGTCGTATTAAAAAAATAAAATAAAAAAATCTGATGTGGCGATGGAAGACGAGGAAGAAGATCGCGATGGGAAAGAGGAGGAGGAGGAGGAGAGGGAGGATGGCGATGAGGAGTGGGAGGACGATGGCGATGGGGAGAGGAGGACGAAGACGATGACGCCGGGGAGGGTCATGTTACTCCTGCCCCCCCCTCCCCCGCCCATCGGCATTTTCCTCCTCCTCCCCATCGCTATCCTTTTCCTCCTCCTCCTTCTCCTCCTCCTCCTCCCCATCGCCGTTTTCTGCCTCCTCCTCCTCCTTCCTCCTTCTCCTCCCATAGCCGATCTTTCTCCCCCTTCTCCTCCTCCTCCTCCTCCTCCTCCCCCTCCCATCACGATCTTTTTCCACCTCCTCCTCCTCCTCCTCTTCCTCCTCCCCATCGCCATTTACCTCCACCTCCTCGTCCTCCTCCTCTCCTCCTTCCCCATCGCCATCTTCTTCCTCCTCCTACTCCTACTCCTCCCCCTCCTCCGCATCGCCATCTTCTGCCTCCTCCTCCTTCCTCCTCTTCTCCTTCCCCATCGCCATTTTCTTCCTCCTCCTCCTTCTCCTCCCATAGCCAATCGTTCTCCCCCTTCTCCTCCTCCTCCACCTCCTTCTCCTCCTCCTCCTCCTCCTCCTCCAATCACGATCTTTTTCCTCGTCATCATCGTCGTCGTCCTCCTCTTCCTACTCCTCCCCATCGCCGTCTTCTGCCTCCCCCTCCTCCTCCTCCCCATCGCCGTCTTCTTCCTCCTCCTCCTTCTCCTCCCATAGCCGATCTTTCTCCCCCTTCTCCACCTCCTCCTCCTCGTCCTCCTCCTCCTTCTCATCCCATAGCCGATCGTTCTCCTCCTTCTCCTCCTCCTCCTCCTCCCCATCGCCGTCTTCTGCCTCCTCCTCCTCCTCCTCCTCCTCCTCCCGTCGCGATCTTTTTTCTCCCCCTCCTCCTCGCCCTTTTCCTCCTCGTCCTCCCCATCGTTGTGATCCTCCTCGTCCTCGTCCGCGTCCTTACCAAGCAGAAGAAAGAAAAGAAAAAAAAAGAAAAAAAAAAGTTGACGTGGCGGGGGAAGGGGAGGAAGTCACAACGGGGAGAAAAGGAAATCAACGATGGGAAGGAGGAGGAAGTCGGCGATGGGAAGGGGAGGAAGAGGGAGATCGGGAGGAGGAGGTGGAAGAGAAAGATCGGAGGAGGAGGAGTAGGTCAGTGATGGGGAGGGGAGGAAGTCAGCGATGGGGAGGGAATGAGGTCAGCTATAGGGAGGGGAGAAAGAGGGAGATCGGGAGGAGGAGGTGGAAGAGAAAGATTGGATCATCATCGGAGGAGGAGGAGGTCAGTGATGGGGAGGGAGGAAGTCAACGATGGGGAGGGAATGAGGTCAGCTATGGGGAGGGGAGGAAGAAGGAGATTGGGAGGAGGAGGTGGCAGAGAAAGATCGGAGGAGGAGGAGGAGGAGGTCAGTGATGGGGAGGGGAGGAAGGCAGCGATGGGGAGGGAATGAGGTCCGCGATGGGGAGGGGAGGAAGAGGGAGATTGGGAGGAGGAGGTGGAAGAGGACGACGGGGAGGAGGAGGAAGTTAGCGATCGGGAGAGAAGGAAGAGGATCGGGAGGAGGAGGAGGAAGAGGACGACGGGGAGGATGAGGACGAAGAGGGCGATGGGGAGGAGGAAGACGACGAAGACGATCGAGAGGAGGAGGAGGAAGTCAGCATTGGGAAGGGGAGGAAGAGGCAGATTGGGAGGGAAGAGGACGGAGGAAGTCAGCAATGGAGAGGGGAGGAAGAGGCAGATCGGGCGGAGGAGGAGGAAGAGGACGATGGGGAGGAGGAGGACGAAGAGGGCGATGAGGAGGAGGAAGACGACAAAGACGATCGGGAGGAGGAGGAGGAAGTCAGCGATGGCGACGAAGTCGACGATGGGGAGAAGGAGGAAGACGACGGGGAGGAGGACGTGGCAAGGGAGGAGGAGGAAGTCGACGCTTCGTCCTCCATTGTCGTCTTCCTCCTCTCCTCGTCGTCGCGAACGTCAACGCGATTTAAAAATAAAAATAAAAAAAATGACGTGACAGGGAGGACGAAGTCGACGATGAGGAGGAGGAGGCGGAAGAGGACGACGGGGGGGAGGATGACGGAGATGGCAATGGGGAGGAGGAGGACAAAGATGGCAATGAAGAGTAGAAGAACGACGAAGATGGTCATGGGGAGGGGAAGGACGAAGTGGACAACGGGGAGGGTGACGAGGAGGACGAAAAGGAGGAGGAGAAAGAAAGTACTCACCAGCGATGGCGACTCCGGGCGCAGGCACTGCACGACGTATGGCGATGGCAACGACCAGGGCAATGGCGGCAGCTCCACGGCAGCGCCGCGACAGATGGTGATGGTGACGACTAGGGCGATGGTGAGGACCAGGATGACGAGGACGGACGGCAGATGGCGAGGCGGACGACCAGGGCAATGGAGGCAGCTCCACGGCAGCTCCACGGCAGCTCCACGACAGCTCCACGATGGCGACACGGCGGCTGGCGATGGTGACGACCAGGGCGACGGCGACGACCAGGATGACGGGGACGGACTGCAGCCGGGTGGAGGGGTGACGCGGTTTGGGGGGTAGACCTTCCCGGCACGAATTCGAAAATTGTGCCGGTGTCGAGCGCATCGGTCCGGCACTGCACCAATGCAGCACGGGACCCTCCCGGCCACGTCATGCAGGAGTTGGTCTGTTCCTTTGTCTCGAATATACATGGAGCTTCCGCAAGCCGCTCTGGCCGAGTGCGCCAGCCATACCTCCCACGAGCCCCTACCACAGGATAGGGCCTACGCGAGGCACGACTTACCTACACCTTACGGAAGCTGTCACCTCCCTTCGGTGGGCGTATCCCCGCCGAGCTACCAGTCCACAGTACAAAAGCTGATCAATTGCAATCGCAGAGGTGGACCAGCCGAGGGCGTTTCTCGTTCGCTGTAGCATAGGGGGTACACGCGGTAGTACGCCTCTATCGGACCCGCACGCGAACCGACATCTTGGGGGGCTGAGGTCCCAAGCACGACTCGGCGTCGGTCGGTTAGGACGTATCCCACTCACCACTCATACACCACGCTACGAACACAAAAATAAAATACACACACACACATCAAACAACGCGACAACACTCTTAGTCCCTTAGTAGCCGTCCCATAACTTTCTGATACGGAAATCGGATAGGCGTCACGAGCGAGACTTAGTATAAAACCGTGCGAACGCAGGGCCTACTCATATCGACTCGCAATGCAAGCATACACAATATAAAACCGTGCGAACGCAGGGCCTACTCATATCGACTCGCAATGCAAGCATACACAAGTGGTCGCAGTGATGGCGTACTGTGTAGTACCCATACTCATGCGGTCCTCGTTAATCTTAAGGGTCGCATTCGACACTCAAGCGTCGGCTGACATGCGCCTTGAGGGTTAATCTCTCGACGTTAGACAACCGCCAAGCGAGGTTGAGAACCACACCCTCTTCTGCACCCTGCGGAGAGTGGGTGGTGCACAGGTTCATACCTGTGGTGGCAATCGTCTCTTATTGCCCTGGAGACCAGCTCCATCATCTAGGGCCTGGGAAGAAGTCAAGGGGTTTGACTTTAACGGTTGCCACGGACTACAACGTCCAACTATAAAAATTATAAAAAGCAAAGGGAAGAAAGGAAATCTCCCTTCTCTGTCAATGCATAATCTATTTAACCCTTACGCATAGTCACGATAGGGCGCGCAAATACTCAGAGAATATGTATATACAGATATAAATAAGGGTTATTAATATAGGACGATCACTTCTCACTGTCACAGTGGGACTCCTCTCAGCCATATATATGTATGTAATTGCAGGCAGTCACATCCAAAGTCCGAACCACAAACATACCTGCAATCACATCAAAGATCCAACAAAAGTTCACACACTATACGGGGTCAACTTCAACCATTCCCTACACTCACACCCCTTGCTTTTAGCCATACAAGCCTCACTCTTGTGCAACTCCTCAACATAAAATACTCAATATTTTTCTTTAAATTGTCATTCAAATAAAGTCCGGGCGAAAATACAACGAAACAGTTCAAATCACAAGGCTAAAGCCTTTAGGTTGAGTTGCAGGAGTGGATTGGAGTTGAATCGTAAACCGACGAATCGGTAACCGACCTGTTATCAGTGATAACAGCAGATGATCCTCGTAGGATCAAGCTGAAACTAGCCCAAATCCTGAATCAATCGATCAAGAAGACCTGTGACAAAAGACAGGCCAATCTCAAGCTAAGTCTATAAGTTTATGGAGAATAATCTCCATATCATGATCTTTCTCAAATCATCCTATTTAACGAAGCCTAATTCTACCTCTATGCAAATGCCAAAGAAAAGGTAGACCTTTGGCAGAATCTCCTCTATACAGAGTGGATTGTCAAAATTGTCACCTGTCAAAATATAATCTAACTCCTTCAAACTTAAGAAAATTTTGGCAGTGCTTCCCGTATGAAAAGTGTCTTTTCAGAATTTATATCAGCCCGAATATGAAAACAGAAATAGTCTTCGACTTTCCAAAGTTAAATTTTGTCTAACTCCCTGAATTAACAAAAATTTGGGCAGCACTCCCTTTAGAAAAATGAGACTTCCCATATTTTTACCAAGCCATATAAAATTTAGACAAATTGAATTTTGAAAAGTCAAGTTGACTAACTCCTTGGATTTGCAGAAATTTCGGCAGCGCTTCCCGTAGAGAAAGTAGCTTACCAAAATTTATACAAAGCCAAGTACAACAAATGATCTCGGAAAATACAAAAATTTACCTAGGTAAAAATAAAGTTGGCTCAGAAAATGCAGAAATTGAACTAACTCTTATCGCTCTAGCACATGGCGAGCAACTAAAGCAACTACCTATCAAACTGAAACTCAGACTAGGTAGTAATCTCACTCAGCCACACACAAGCCAAACCACAAAGGTAAGTACTCTCACCATCCCCAAGTCACCTTTGGCAAATAATAGTTCATAGTCTTTCAATGATTTACCCCTTCATACCCAGCTTACATAGGGCATTGAGTTAGGTCATTCATCTTAGAAACAACGTCAACTCTTTGCCTTAGTTATACACGGAACAGGTTGCACAACTACTTTTCTCTTCATTGGGCATATGACTAAGTCATTCGTCTTAGAAACAATGCTTAGTTGCCTTGATCTGTTTAAATAGCCAAGTTATATATAATTCTTTGAACTTAATCTTCAAAAATGAGCGTAGGACTGAGTCATTCGTCTTAGAAAMAATGCTCAGTCGGCCCAAGTTACCTTCAATTATAGCTCTTAGTTATACTCTCTTAACTTGTGATAAGGCTATAGTCAGACCATTCGTTTAAGAAACAATGTCTGGCTAGCCTTATTCCCATATATATATATATATATATATAGGATTATAGAGAATCATATTCCTTTGTTCTCATTATAGTCTCGTGGCCTCAGATTTAGACCATTCCTTTTAGAAACAATGTCTAGTCCTTTGGCCTGAACCTCCCTCAGAATGAAACAACCAAAGAGAGTTTAGCCATTCGTCTTAGAAACAATGTCCAACTCCCATTTTCTCAGCACTAAAAAAAAACAGAGTACTCTGGGCCAAGACCCAGAGACTGTTCAGAAACCACCCAAAATAAACAACGACCAGACCATTCATCTTAGAAACAATGTCTGGTCCTCAAAACTCAAGCAATCAATACCCCTCAAAATAAATAGTCAGGCCATTCATCTTAGAAACAATGTCTGGCACAATTAAATAAACACAGCGACCAAGTCATTCGTCTTAGAAACAATGCTTGGCCCTTCAGAAAACAAAACAAAACACATTAGTCAGGTCATTCATCTTAGAAACAATGCCTGACCCCATAAGACCCGTTCAAGCACAAGCAAGACTGTCTTTCTCCCACCTTCCCCCTGATGCAATCCCTTTGTGACAATATGCTTTCAGACAAACAAAAACTGAAACTGCCATGATGCATACATTCCTTTACTTAATCTGGCTTATATCCTGAAAGTCAAACTAAAAGTCAAAGTAGGGATACAAACAATACACCCAGCCAATACATAGGGAGGTGTGTAGATATGGGGTTATAACTGGCTTTATTAATGAAAGCAATGGTTATCTCTTGGTTCCCTGCCTCCAAAACTCCTCCTTAGTTTCGGCAGAGTTCCCGCAATCGGTGGGATGACTCCCCACAGAGTCTTGATGCGGACCTACGGGTTGCAATCCCGCCTGCCGCCTTCCTCTCAGAACCAATAGACTAGACTTAGAGTCAGAAGGGCAGAAAAAGATAGTTATGAGACTCTCAGATCCAAGAAAGGTGCACTCAGACTCGCCGGAGAGGACCTTCAAATCTTCAGTTGCCTAAGGGCCCCGCAATGATGGCCAAAAACAGCAGCTTGGTCAAACTGAAGCCAAACCATAAAATTCAATCTTAAGACGACCTCCCAAATCATAACACTGACTCCTTGATACCCTTCCACAATCGCACCGGCGATGACTCTGTAATGCACAGTCACTCCTCGGAGTTTCGCAGCTCGAAATGCGTTGGCCCTCAGCTAAAGAAACGGCCTATGGATCAAAAACAAGTCTTCTCCGCTTTCTGCGGTGAGGTAACGGTGTGGTCCGGCTGGCTGTGCAGCGACCAAATGTACTAAGAAAAACCAACTATGTCATCTTCAACATGCGCCGCCGCTCGCCTGTAGCTACTTTACCCTGCACTATAGCCTGCGCACAGGCTAATGCGTAAGCCTTCACATTTGCATCTGACCCGTTACCTACTAAGTTGGTAGGAGAAGAAGTCTTCGGACCAGCAAGTAGATCTGTAGTTCCTGCAGTTGATCTGTTGCCGCTTCACTTGACTAACTGGCCTTACATCGGCCAGTTGCGAGTGTTTAGCTCCGCACTTGTTCTCTTGTTGATCCTATCAGCGGGATGGGCAAACCCGAATAAGCCTCATACCCGAGCATGGCCCGATATGTTGCTTACCAGTCATGCGCTCAAATAGATGGGCTCATGCTATTCCCTTCCCCAGTGCACACGAAATCAGGTGAATCTACTATGAGACCATGGAGACATGCACTGCTTCTCAACTCGACGCTCCACAACCAGCCTTCCTGTCACCAGATAAGCACCGGACTATGCGGCCGTGTTTGCATACTGCTTCCGCAGGTAGGATTAGCAACGCAGCGGTCAACAGGTAAGTCTCTAACTTCGCTGCTTCCTCACACTAGTCTCATCGATCGGACGAACAAACTTTGAATGACTCTTCCACTGGAACGTGGCCGGCCAGTTGCACATCTGCAGAAAACCACCAAATAAGTCATCCTCCACTTTACATCTTCCCCCTCGAGGTTTTCCACTTTCTCCCTCCTTTGTGGCCTCCCATCCGCTCTTCTTCTGCTCCTTTAATGCACGCAGACAATGAGTTAAGACCACGATCTGCTGGTTGCGCCCTACTACGCTCTGATCGCAAACGAAAAGGGGCGAATGAATTTGTCCGCTGTAACACGGTAAAGTACATCGGTGATTTGTGGATCCCCCCCCCCTCCTCTCGAGCGCAGTCTATAATACTGACGCTGGCCAATCTAACGATCTAG